CCTTCTATTTATGCAGAGTCCAAAGGAAAAGAAGTAAACTTAGTATCTGTCATAAATTGCATGAATGAATTACTTGTACTGCAGCACAAGAATCTTCGAGCTCAGGAAGAAGTAGAAATGCAGCATCTGAAACTGGGTAGTGATATGGATCATTTACAGAACTGCTATACTAAATTAAAGGTAGAGGAGGCTATTTCTGCCAATATTTTGCAGCACTTATTTTACCTGATATTGTACATTCTTCATGTGCCTGTTTTCTTGTATTTCTCCTCAGTGCTAATTTTAATTTGTATTTTTGTGTTGACTTTTTTAATCTTTCGATATTCATTTTATTAATACTGAACTATCAACACTTTTTCTAGGAGCAGTTGGAATTATCTAAAAGGGAAATAGTTGGACTTCAGGAAAGGGACAGACAGCTGCAAAGCAAGAATAGAAATCTCCACCAATTACTTAAAAACGAAAAGGATGAAGTGAGTTACGTTGTACATCAATGTAGATCATTAAATAGATTTTCAGCAGTAGGTTGATTCTTCCAAGGCATCTCATAAATTTCATTTTGAATGCTTTTTTGTTTTTTTCTTTCAACATAGACAGTTGGCAGATGTCTTTCATGAAACTGAAATTGGCATTTTACACACTTGAATTAAATAGGTTTTATAAGGGATGAGTTCAAGCTACAAATATGGTAAGGAGTATTGAAGGAAAGCACATGTACAATTTCTTCATGCTTTCTGTGCTTTTTTTGAGTGTAATATTATTTTAGGAGGTTTAGAATAATGGAAATGTGGAAGAAGGTAACAGAATTTTGTCATTTGCTCAAATCCTCACAAACAGGAGCATTTTTTTTCTATGGTGTAGGAGAACAGAAGGCAAAAAGAAAGAGGAGGGGAGACCAGCCAAATGTAAAAGCACCGAAGAGCAGCCTCAAACTTTGGCATTCTTGCGAGAGCCAAAATCAGAAAGCTCCCTAAAACTTTGCTTAGTTCAGGATATGCCCCCTATACCATACTTGCATAACTCTCTTCTAGGTTCCTGTGATCCTATACATATTCATACAGTTAGCAATCACAGTATTAGCTCTATATAATTAACATCTTAATGTTTCTGCTAAAAATACTGATAGTGCTGTATGTTAGTAAGATTTAAACTGATGCTTTAAGTAGGCTGCAGTAGGTTTTGATAATACGGGTCAAGAATATGCTGTATAGTATGTTTCAGAGTTCTTTAAGACCAAATAAAATATTCTCTTACTCTCCCTTTTCCTATCCTGCTCTCCAAATGGAGCAAAGAGCCTATTATTGTTTCTAGTGCAAACCTTACCAGTGTACTTTGGAGTTAGAATAAAATTAGATCCTGAACATTAATTACTGACTTAAGCAGAAAATGTCTTTCTTAGCTCTACTCAGTAAAGGTGTCAAAGAAGCTCCTTGTGTGAGTCCGCAGATGATGAGTTTAGTACTACTTTAGAGGAACTATAGCATTGTAATATATTGCTGATGTTGATGGTTTCTGCAGAAAAGCAATCAAAATCCCTGAATTAAATACACCTGAGGCTGGAATCTGTGGGTTGGAAAACTCTCCTGTTTCCTTTTGTCACTCTCTTTGACTAGAAATACAATTTATTAATATAAACATTATTTCACTCCTTTAAAGAATTGTTATGTATTCATACTCTAGTTTAAGGTTGAAAGCAAATATCTTTTTTTTTTTTTTCATGGGATTGTTTTAGGTACAGAAGCTACAGAACATAATTTCTAGCAGAGCTACACAGTACAATCACGATATGAAGAGGAAAGAGAGAGAATATAACAAATTAAAGGAACGCTTACATCAGTTAGTCATGAACAAAAAGGACAAAAAGATAGGTAAATGGTGAACTTCACTGCAGCAGAATAACATATTCTATGTGTTTACAAATGTTCAGTTTTGTTTAAGAAAATGTTATCTAGATGTAATATTTAATTTCGTTCTTTTGTGGTGTATTCCATGCATTTGTTTGTTTAGCACAAACTAACAGGGAAATCTTCAAAAAAAACACATTTTACTAGTGAGAATTACTTGAAATCCATTCGTAAACTACAGCTGTTTCTCTTCTGATTTCTTGCAATTGCCATCACAGAACTTTAGGTAGTGTCCTAAATACTACATAACATTCACCACTTCTGATCAGCAGGCAGCACTGCATGAGGTTGTGTTTTTTTCTTTGCAATTACGCAGTTCTACTCATGTTAATGATAGGAGATATTTTAGAAAGGAAGTAAGATAATGCAGGAATAGCATGTGAAATTAGGAGAAAAGAAATCTTGATCATGTTAGCACTGTATAGTTATACTGCACCCCAAAATTGTTTTCAAGACACCAGTGCTGTTTAGTGTGAGTGTAGTTTGGATTTGTTGTGTGGGTTATTTTTTGTGTTTTTTTTCTGAAAACCAGTATCACCAGTATGTAATGGTAAAAGCCGTCTTGGTCGTCTTGTACTTTGTGGTTCATGTAATGGCTTTGGAGTACTTGCACCATTATTCTCCAGTGTTTAATTACTGTGGGTCAGCAAATGTGACATGAAATCTCATTGTCAGATATAATGTGGGGAGTTGCTGCCATTAGAAGGGGAAGTCCTGCTCTTCCCCCCGTCCCCACCCTGCTCCAGCACCTCTCAGCTGTTTGCACATGTGACACTGCTGATTTGGCTTAGCTCCCAGATCAGGAGAAGACCATTCATGTTGTTGCTGAAGTACTTTTCTGCCAGTGTAGTTTCCTGAACCTACATGTGAACAAGCTGAGGCAGTTGAGGGCCCTGAAACAGGAACGCGCATTTTAGCAGTAGCAAATCATTATATCTAATGCTCGTTATAGCATTAGTGCTCAAACTGACCTCATTAGCTCAGTTTCTGGAAGCCTCATCCTGACCACAACAATGATTATTCAGAGCAGGTTCTTGATTCAGGGTGGCTAAAACTAGTTCAGATATTGTTGAGGACAAAATAACTGTATTCTAACTTGTTTTTCTTTGATAGCTAACTGGAATTAAATTTAGACCACCTGATGGGATTTTTTTTTGTAAACGTACGTAGATAATTTTGCTTTAAGGAACTTGTGCTTGTGAGATATCAGTAAGTTGCCTATTCTTTACTGGAGATAAAAATTGGCATCATTGCCGCAAGTGTGGTCAATATGCGATTATTGTAGACAGCTAAAGTACAGATGAAGGTATCATTAAGAAATGTATACAAAAGATAAGACAGAATGACTTTTTTCTGATTGATACCCAGAAGAGGATAAAAAGAAAAAAATTCTTCTTATCTCACTCTAGTTTAGTTAAGCAGGTCAATATAGTCTCCCATGTGTCTGAAGGCTGAGGGGATATTTAGATAACATGGTCACTTGACAACAATTAAATGCAAATGTAAACAGGTAAATGTGGTATAATCTGAATATTTACATATTTTTATGTTGGTTAATGCTTTGAAACATCTTCTTTTGTCTGTAGCTATGGATGTTCTAAATTATGTTGGTAGAGCTGATGGGAAGAGAGGTGCATGGAGGACTGATAAGACGGAAGCCAGGTGAGCTCATAGTTGTTTCAGTGATGTTAATTGAAACATGTCATGGCTATCATGTTGCTAGTTTAAGATTTCTGCTTCCAGAAATGAAGAAGAAATGTACAAAGCTCTGTTAAATGATTATGAACAACGCCAAAAGCAGCTTTTAATGGAAAATGCTGAGCTGAAAAAAGTTCTTCAGCAAATGAAAAAAGAAATTATTTCACTTCTCCCGCCACAGAAGCAGAAACCTAAAGAAAGGTCTGAGGATGGACCAGTAAGTATTCTTCATA